AATGTGTTTCGAAATGTAGCAGAACATTTAATAATGTATAAACACATTTATTGTGATGTTTCAGCTCTAGAAGAACTGTAGTTTGTATACGAAGTGTTTTTATAGAAATGTAGCAGAACATTTAATAATGTATAAACACATTTATTGTGATGTTTCAGCTCTAGAAGAACTGTAGTTTGTATACGAAGTGTTTTTATAGAAATATAGCAGAACATTTAATAATGTATAAACACATTTATTGTTGATGTTTCAGCTGTAGAAGAGGTAGCACCTTTATTAGCAGAGAAGAAGAATGCAGTACCAGTATTTTGCTTTGGAGAAAATCAGAACAACAATTTTCCAGCAAAGTCTTTAAATGACCTCCTTCTTAGCGCGTGCTCTACTCCTCCTGACGTCGACTGCAAACTCAACTTCCATGGTAAGCCTTTTTTTTTTTTGATATTACGAATATTGGGCCTATTAAAATTACATCCTTATCACAAAACTTGATTTTTTTTCATCTTGCTGTATTATCAATAACTGTTTAAAAAACAAACTATATTTTCAATGGAGACGACAAACAATTTTAGTTAAATGTTTGTCTATTCTACCCCGACGTTTCGACTTCCGCCTTTTTCAAGGGTTTATGGACGTCACTTTGATATTAGATTATAGAACAGTTTTTGTGTATTAACCCTGATGAAGCCCCAAAGGCGAAACGTTGGTAAAAATAAAAATATTCTTTTATATATATATATATATATATCCGGAGTTTAAGGGTAGTTTTTTTTCTAAACTTTTTATCAAAAATGTGTAAATCCCTCAAATATGCACTACAAATTTTGAAAGGTTGCAAAACTGATTTTAAATTATAGTAACCGAAAATAATATAAAACTTCAACAATATAATGTAACAGTGCACGTTGAAGTGTACTAAAAGTATTGTTGAACAGGTTAGAGTTGCATATCATAAAATAAATGTTAAAAATAATAAATACAAAATCTATATAAATATAATAGTGCTGTCTGTTGTATGTTCATATATAACTACTTCACAGGTTTTGGATGGATCTTCACCAAATTTGGCAGGAATGTTTGTTGGGTCCATACGAAGATACATGCACATGTGCAGTTTCACATTTCACATTATGGGCGTTCTTGCGTGTGTTTTTTTTTTTTTTACAGTTACATATCAGGGAAGCAACTTTACATGTACTAAGATAACCTTTCATTAATCACGAATATATATAACTTCCGTCCAGGGGACGTGTACTCCAGTTAGTAAATAAATACATAAAGAATAATAATAATAATACGATAGGGATCAGACATTGTTTCTGTTAATGGAAGGACGTTTGGATTGAAATAAAAGATATTCTTTAAATTTTGTGTCCAGAAAGTTTTCACAAGTTTTAAAAAATAATAATTCGTATATGTTTCTAATTTCCATAGAATAACGAGGAATATCTATTTTTACGCTATGATGTAACACAGTCACATGGTGGAATGTTGAGGGTGTGAAAGTTTTATGCTATGATGTAACATAGTCACATGGTGGAATGTTGAGGGTGTGAAAGTTTTACGCTATGATGTAACACAGTCACAGGGTGGAATGTTGAGGGTGTGAAAGTTTTATGCTATGATGTAACATAGTCACATGGTGGAATGTTGAGGGTGTGAAAGTTTTATGCTATGATGTAACATAGTCACATGGTGGAATGTTGAGGGTGTGAAAGTTTTATGCTATGATGTAACATAGTCACATGGTGGAATGTTGAGGGTGTGAAAGTTTTATGCTATGATGTAACACAGTCACATGGTGGAATATTGAAGGCGTGAAAGTTTATTTTTTTATGTAGTACTATATTTTATCTGAGGCATTTGACTTAATCTGACAGATCGTCTGCTCTACATCTACACGTCTGGAACAACTGGATTACCTAAAGCAGCCATTGTGAAAAACAGCAGGTGAGTATGTGTAAAAATCATTATTAGAACATATTGAAAATCAGTTACTTTACAATAAGAGAAAGTTTCAATTATCATAAGTTGCATACACAAGTTGCATACAGTATTGACTCAACTTTCAGTGAAACTTTTTAAAGTCATTATTAGTTTTTTTTGTGAAGAAGTGGAAACTAAGACGAAGGGGAATTCGAAACTAATTCCGCTGAGCAAGCAGATGCTTTGATATACTGAGTCTGATGAATATTATAGGGTAATATACCCTGAGTTTTGCAGGGTAGCTGTGTTTATCGTAGATGATACATCTTACAGCACAATATTATTAAGGTATTTGAAAAGTTTTTTTTGGTTTACAAAACTTGAAGATAGCTTTTATGTGCGGAAACATCTGTTAGCTGAGTTCTTGCACAGATCTTAAAATATAACGTTGATAAACGGAAACATAGGCACATGTAGATATGTAGATCTTGAAAGTCGAGTTGTTCAAAACTTGAAAATAGCGTTGATAACTGGACCAATTGTTGGTTGAGATGTTGCAAAGGAAATATCTGCTAAAGCTTTTCGCCAGACACTAATTATAGCAGAACCGTCTGGAAAATGATCTATAGAAAATGGTACAGATTATTAAATGAGCCAGATCAACGTAGGCTGATAAGGCAATCACTGATTGGCATGTCCTTTAGCCAATCAGGAAATGTCACAGACCTACTGAAAGATGTGCTGATTGTACAGGAATTCTTTTTGGCGGCAAAGGACAGGTTTATGTGTTTCAATAAAGGTGGCTTCCAAAATATAGAGATGAAAGGCTGACAGACCATTTGCAATAATTTTAAACTTGCTATCCATGTAGTTGTCAGCACAAGTCGGGTTCACTAGTTAAATGCTGTCAAATCGCTGATTAACATTTTGGTGGTAGAACTTTTGTTTTACAGGAGCGACATGGTAAATTCTTTTCTATCACACTTATTTCTTATGGATGTGGGATGCTTCAGGTACGCGGAGAGCCTCAGAATGGACCGTCGAAGTATGGTCCGTGTAATTTTTTCCTCTCCGACCGAAACTCACGCTGTCACGCCGCGCGTCTCGGCGCGATAAGAGGATCTGTCGTCGAATTCAACGTGACCTCACGGTCGAGGTCTCACGGACGGAACCACGGCCGCGTTCCCGGAGGCGTTCCGCAGAGACCTAAGGTATTGCCGTCGAAGTCGGGTCCGAGAAATTTTTATATTATTATTAATGTTATTCCGCGATACAAAGTAGACTGTGGTTAAAAACCCTGACTTAGGCCACCAAAGAAGACTCTTGTCAACTATACTTGTTAAAGTTATTACTTGCAGCTATTGTAAAACGTAATGTCTCAATTGTTTAAAAGCAAATCAAAAATAAATCAGAAATAACAAGTAAAAATTTAATTTCAAATCAAAATAAATCCAGTAGTTTACAAATTTATTACAATACCTCATTGTTCCTGTAGCTTTGATTTGTTGTGTCTACGAAATGCAACCATTGTTGTTTAAATTGTTAAAACAAAATATATTGTTGATTTCTTTACTTTAATACGCTACATGTTTAATCAATTTAAAAGTTTAAGAGAAAAACCACATTATTATCATTAGATAAACATATAAATTAAATAAGAAACACATTATCATTATCATTAAATAAACACATAAATTAAATAAAAAACACATTATCATTATCATTAAATAAACACATAAATTAAATAAAAAACACATTATTATCATTAAATAAACACATAAATTAAATAAAAAACACATTATTATCATTAAATAAAAACACATTATTATCATTAAATAAAAACACATTATTATCATT